GTCTCAACTTCAGGACCTATGAGAAACTAGAACTTAGGACAGACTCGATTGAGTCCCCTTTGTCCAGCTCACGAAGTGTTTCGTTTGCCATAGCAAAGCTGAGTAGTTCACCAAAAAGGTGTGTGTGCAAAATGGCAATGGGAAACATGGTGAAGGAAACAGCATCTGAGAACTAAAGACAAGGAAAAAACACCGGAGAAAATGTTATGCTGTATTCAGACTTGAGAAAGCCAAATCTGGCTCCGGCTCTTCTACTAGTGGCCTTAGAAAGTCAATCTCTGAGAGTCTCAATTTTCTTATCTCCTAAAACAGTGTGTACCTCACAAGGGCCATTGTGAGGATCAAATAAGATAACATAGATAAAAGTACTCTGTAAATTATGAAGTGAAATGCAAATATTAGTAAAAGATGAAAGGTATTTAGATTTTTTTATAGTAACACTCTTCCATGTATTATCCCAGACTTAATTTAAACAAGCCCTCAAGCTCTACCCAAGGAAAGACAAGGCAGGGTAAATCTGCCATTTTACTTAAAGGTTTTCTAACACAAAAGTAATATGTACATTTCAAGTTCTAGAGTAAGCTTCAGAATGAAAGACCGAAGTCTTCCTCCCTCTACTACAACTCCCTTTCCTGAAGGCCTACACTATCAAATTTCTTACACATACTACCAGGAATAAAATGTTCCAAGTAATCACAGACACATGCTTTTAAAAGCTTTTACACAAATGTTGCACGTTCTGTTCTATATCTTCTGACTTATTTAACCAGTTCCCTATTGACAGGTATCTAGGTTGTTTCTCCAAGTTTACTGTATGATTAATACTATGCAAAATATTTGTATGCATGTACCTTGTCATAATTCCAAAACTGTAAATTCCTAGCAGAACAATTTCTGGGTCAAAAAGCACGTACTTTACCTTGCTAGCTAATGCTAATTTATTCCCCAAAAACGTACCAAATTTATTCCCACCTTCAGTATGAATGCCCATTTCTCTACATGCTTGCCAAAATATGTCCTTTAAAACTTTCCACATGCTTATTTTTTTTTTTTTGTATGAACTGCCTCTTCACATCCCCTTTGGGGGCCATCTTTTTCTTATTGAGTGCCTCTCACTGCAAGTGATTATCTGTCTTTTGACATTACTTTCCCTAAACAAGGTTTAGGGGAATAAATTATATGAGTCAAATTTGTCCAGCTTTCATTGTTTCTGGGCTTCGTGTCCCACTTTAGGAAACTCCTCCATACTTCCACACTGGTGTTCTCCCCACAAAAGGGAACAAGTCCCAACCCCCTATTCAAAGCTTTCAATTATCTTTTGGTGCCCCATTTCCAAATATAAAAATTCAACAAGCTATCACAAGATACACTATAACAATACAGATAAGGGGCTAAAACAAGCAAAAAATGTGTAGGAAGTAGACTAAAGGGGGAAGAAATTTAAAAAAGACTTTATCCTTAAAATTAGAAAATGCAATCATAAAACAAGAACAGAATGCATATATAAGGAACATTCAGGTAACAGAAGTATACTTATAAATTTTAAATGTAGCAAAAATCTAAAACTGTAAAAAGGTAGAAAGATGAAATCCAGGGAATCTCCCAGAAAGTGAAAATTAATGAACTGGTCCAAAGAGGTCTAGCTACTGAAGAGTAAACAATCCAGAAACAGAACAGAACAAATCAGGGGTATGATAAAAAGCAAAGAAACAATTCAAGAATAGATTTGCTCTCAGTAGGTAAAATTGATATATCTGATTCTCGATGTCTCGAATGACTTAAATGTCATTCATCTTTGTAGCCCCAGAGCTAGGTACAAATCAATTAACCCATATATGGAAAGATTCAGTCATTTATTTCGAGGTGTGTGGCTCTTGAAATAAATGAACTAAGGAATAATGCTTGAGAAACAGAATTAGTGAGCCTCGGGCCTCTTAGCATTGATAATGGGTAACAATATTTTAAAACCTGGCATTCAACATCTTTTTTGTTGTTGTTCAATCAACATCTTGTACCGGTAGCAAGTGAGCTGTACTTATCAGTAGTCAACACTTGCCCAAAAGCTGAAAAATAAGGATAAAGCTATTGGCCTAATCGTTAAAGCAGTGATTAGAATACCTTGAGACTAATAGCAAGTAGAGGACCTAGAGAGACAAATCTAATTTTTTCATCAAAATAAAGTGCTTGGCAGGATAGCAGAGTGGAATTTATATGGAAAACTTTAGCATCTATATGCCAACAATTATTTTGCCTGATAAAATACATAAAATGATCATCCTAGTTACAAGGATCACAATAGAACATCAGTCATTAAGGCTAAGGAATTAAAACCTTGCAAGAAGGATCAAAGTATTAAAAACATATGATGTCAAAGCAATATAAAAATATAGCTGTTATGGAATTGAGAAAGTTAAAAAAGTGGGACAGTTGACAGATAATCGGTACAGGAGGCAAGTGAGCAAACCTCTCAAAACCCATTATGGGTTACCTCAGTTATGAGTACATATACCTCAGTTATGTACTAAATCATTTTAGAGGACATAACAGTCAGTAGCTTACAACTCTTGGGGGAAAATTCATTTAACAAAAGAGGAAGCAATTTAAAGTGAAAGAAAAAAACTCAAGGCGAAATTAGGTAAATAGAAAAACTTTACCTTCCCATCTCCACCTCCAGTAAGATAACTAAGTACCTAAGTATTTACAGATTCAAGGGCTACGTAGTAATTACATGGAATGCCTTCCCACTGTCACATCTACAAGATCTTCCCATTAAAGTGAAGTTCTTTACACAAGGTCCATAAATGTGCTGTCCATATCTTCGGATGCCCACTCCATCACTTTAGCTGTAAACACATCTAAAATCTGTGTTTGTGTACATTTTTTCTGTAAAAGATATCTGGACTTTTTTTAAATAAAGGTTTCTAGAACTGTCTTTCAAAAGTTACTCTATTGCCACAGAATCAAAGACCATGTCCTTTCATTCTCATAAGCCTAGGAATAGTTAATTTCTGGCTTATTGTCTTTACAGAAAACAGTGTTTCATTTGAAACACTCTCCTAAAACCAGACTATTATTATTAGGGAAAACCCTAGTTAATGAATCTCTTGGTTGTGACACTTTAAAAAATATGGAGGTACTCAAAATTTTAAATAAACTGTGTGCAGGAAAAAAGACTAAGCTAAAGACCCTAATGGAGTACAAAACATAGTGGGTAAAAATGGCTGAAAGGCATCATTGAACTTGATCAACAAGAGTTTTTAAACATCAAGTTTTCTCCTCAATCTTTTCTGTGTACTTTTTAGTTTGTGTTCTGGACATAAAAGTCATGAACTAATTTATTTAACAGGAATATGAATATCCCTAGCCCACAAAGTTCTACCATGAATTGAAAAAGTTCTGTTAAATAGTGAATCCCATTACATTCACTATCTTGAGAACACCAACCCTAACTTTTAATACCATGGCATGTTAAATATGTCTTCAGGGTTTAATTGCTGAACCCACATCCAACCCAAAAAATATTAACTATGATAATATAATGCCCTTTTACCATATTCCTGAAATTACTGAACATCTCAAAATGAGAAGAAGATTGAAAAAGAACTTTCTGCCCTCAGCAAACGACTTGTCTTGGCTGCACAGTAAAAATGGACTTCTCTAACCCGTAAAATATTCCAGATTATTGCAATCAAAATGCTTACTTTAAAAAAAGCTGTTCTTTAATTGAGAAATAAAAGGTTAAGTTTTTAATGAGAAACATAAAGAAGCTTGAATTGTGAAGTGTGAGAATATACATCTAGAATGGATACGAAATTGTCAGTGCCTGCTATGCCGCGTTAAGACAGTATACACACACAGAGAGAAAACACTAAGTTTGGGGGATGGGGGGGGGCGGGAAATCACAGCACCTAACATTTATTAAATCCCTATGTGCCAGGCACTGTGTTAAGTCTTTGGATCCAGCTGCCCTGTGAGGTTGATCCATCATCACCCCCATTTTACATTTGGGGAAAGGGACTTTTGAAAAAAAGACAGGAGACCTCAGAGGTAAAACAACTTGCCCAAGATCAGTTACTAAGTGACAAAATCAGGACTCAAAACATAGCATTGCCTATGTTTTTTGATCACTAAACATTTTGCTACGCAGATTGAGACCCCCACTAGAAAGTATAAGCCTTACTGATTAATGGGGAACCAGTAGTATCATCTGTGTATCTCCTATTGTATCTTGTATTATTATATACGTATTAGGTACTTGACATCAGCCAACTAAAGGATAGCACAGGTCCGACTGCAAAATAGCTTCAAGGAAAAGTGTGATTTCGCTGATGGAAAACAGATGAAATCTTTTGATGAATGACATGCATAATATCAGAGAAAAATAACTCTGAAAGGAACTATTATATATAAAAGGCTTCTTATTTTCACATAATAGTATGAACCCATAAATACCCTTATTCAAGAGTTGTCAGTGATGAGCCCTGGCTGGTGTGGCCCAGTGGATTGAGTGCTGGCCTGCGAACCAAAGGGTCACCAGTTCGGTTCTCAGTCGGGACACATGCCTGGGTTGCGGGCTGGGTCCCCAGTGGGGGGTGCTCAAAGGGCAACCACACATTGATGTTTCTCTCCCTCTCATTCTCCCTCCCTTCCCCTCTCTCTAAAAATAAATAAAATCTTTTTTTTAAATAGAGTTATCAGTGATGAATACTGAAATTTAAGTATTTTATCTCTCAACTAAATGTTTAATCAAATAAGCACACTGAAAGTGCATGTAACTTTTTTATTGAGGCACAACAAGGCATTATAACTTGCCTGGACTTGAGGCAGTCAGTTTAGTAAGCTCAACATTAATACAGTTAAGGACTAAGTGCAAACAATATACATTCACAGCTTGACTAGCGAGGCTACATCACAATTTATAAAGTGCCAGATTAGTGCTAATTGTCATTTGGCTTGAAATTTTTCACCTTGGGGAGGAAAACAAAAGTAAGGACCTCCTCCTTCCTCTAGGAATGAAAACATTTCCCTAAACCAATTAGTAACAAGGTCAAGGACTACTTTTCCTTTAATCCCTCTAATTAGAACACCATCCTTTTGTCAATTCTGTACTGACTTTCAATCTTGATAAAGAAGATAGCCTGAAAATGTAGAATATTTCCAACTACTTCCATAAATGGCTCCCCTGTGCAAACGTAACCATATCTGGTCTCCCTGGAAGAGCTGAAGAATCGCATGATTGCTAGCAGTTTCATGGTCTGGAGCACCGTCATTGGCGTAGGCAGATACCAAGACCTCTTCATTCTTCATGAGGTTGACATACAGTGGCACATTCACCGCCAGCTTTAGCATGTGAAAAATGAAAACATAAGTGCCATTCACTGGACAATTAAATCTACCAAGCTGAAGATCAAAAGTTTCTCCCAAGTTGTTCAGAAGAAGATCAAACACAATAGGTTGGTCTAAAGTTCCAGGGGCGAGGTTAGAGGTTCTGGCTGCTGAGAAGGCAACTCGCATCTGCTGAGGCAGAGGATAGACATGTACTGGCAGTAAGGTGGCTGCTGGATTTGTCACTGGCACATCCACAGGGGTCATGCTACGGGAGTCACCTTGTCCAGAGTCACCACTGTTAAAGGTTTCGTTGTCTCTTTCTGGACTGCTCACCTGAGAAGAATCACTCCACCCTGCTGTTTTATTAGCAACAGTGAGTTTCTCATAATGAAGCAGTTAGCTTTGAACACAATATTTAACATTAGTCGGCTACTGAAACACAGATAAAGATACATTTTATAGTACATTCTAAAACAAAAGCAATAAACTATAGCTACAGTGTGCTTTCAAAGATTTTCTGGAAATAGGCTTTAATACCACTATTCTAAAACCAGAAGGGACCTAGATGATCTCATCTAGTAGCCTCATCTTTTTAAGATTAAAAAAAAAAAAATAAGGCCCCAAAAGGTTGGATAACTTACCACTATTTAAGGTCAGGAAAATCTAAAACCCAGGTTTGAAACATTCTTTTTGCTTCTTTATCTTTCTCATAATTCTCACTGTTCTAATTCCTCACTAATAAACCTACTCAAAGTTTCTGATGTAAAAAATCTCAAGAAATCTGAGATCACATAAAAGAACCAACTTTTAGAACTACTAACCATGCAAGGATATTTCTGTATGGTACTAAGCCCCATGATGAATGTTTGTTCTATATTTCCAAGCTAATGTGATATGATGAAATGGTTTATGTGCTGTACAAAAACACTGCTTAGAAGTAAGGCAACAGCAACACAAATACTGGCTACTTAAGAAAGACAGACTGTTTTCCTGTGACAAACTTTATCTTCGGTTAATTCTTGATTTTCTCAGTTACACTGAATCTTTAAAGAGTACCTTCACATATTAAAAAGTATTACAAGTTTCCTGCTTTTGTTTCAAGTCTTAATTGTGTTTTAATTGTTGCTTATTCCTATCTATCAATGTAGTGACACTATAGCATAGGGCATGTGCCCAGTATTTAAAAAAAAAAAACCGTCACCCTGAAACTCCCACAAAAAGATCTGAAGTTGGCACTGTGAATATACAGGGTGAGGCAAATAATATTAAGAATACATTCTATATTTCACATACTCACAACTATAAACCTACTTTTTGCACCACCCTGTATATCTAAGTTTAAATTATGCTCTGGTGTCAAGAAAACTGAAACACACAGACACTTTTAAGTAATTGAAAACTGATTTCCACAGCCTTCCTAAGTAGTCTAATATCTGCCTCAGGTCTTCAGTACTACAAATTAAGCAAACAAAACCTCAACAAGATAAATGCTGAAAACAATGTATATAGGGAGAATTTGACAGAGGATGGTAGTTTTGGGTAAATAAACTACTCAGTTCATTATCCTTACCTCTTGAATTTGCCCGAGGACCACCAGATGTCCCTCCTCTCTTGTAACACTGCTGGAAATTATCCTAAAATAAACACATAATATTTACCTTGGCACCAAAAATGTGAGACAATAATTAGTTATTACCCAGGATTACTGGCTGGTAATTCTGTAAGATTATAAATCCTCTTAACTCTGTATCTGACCTTCTCCAGCAGCCAGAGAGGCTCAGATGTTGCCAAACACCAAGAAAAACAAATAACAACAAGGCAACAGTAGCAATACTTGCTTAACAACTGTAACAATAACCTGACCAAACTATAAAGCATCTAAAGAACACTATTTAAAAGATACAGTGCTAGGTAACAGGGAGAAATGAAAAAATATGTCATGGTCCTCTTGTTCCTCATCTCAATATAAAAGGAGATAATACAGCAAGAACACAGACTATTTCAGTCTTGCTCTCTATATAAACTGAACTGTAAAGACAACCACAAAGTATGTTAGGGTATTGTTTTGTCTTAACAGGAGACTTGATAAGAATTGCACTACATAAATGTTTTAGTCCCTGGAAATGTAATCTATTAGTTTCAAGAAAAAATGTTGAAGAGGTAGCATTTCAAACTGCCTCCAAAGTATGTTAAAAGTCCATACAAAACATGAAAAGAATACTTAGTGGTGTAGATTAATACATGTAACAAAAAGTTTAAACAATACAAGAAGGTTTACAATGAATATAATAATTAAGGTCTCCTACCCAGACTCCTCATCCTTTTTCCAATAGCAACCACTATTACTAATATCTTTTGTTTCCTCAGGAAGGAATTTAAAGCAGCAGGCAAAAATATTAGAATAATGGTGTTGAGAACGGATATGTTCATTACTGAAGTCTACATTAATCAATGCACTCCCCTCCACACACAGTACCTGACAATCCTGTAGTAACAGCTAGCATTTGCATGGCTGATATACACCCAGCACTGCCTATGTATTAGCTTATTTAATTTTCAGAATATCTCATAGAGTAATTCTCACAACAGAGTAGGATGAGTAATTGAAACAGACGAACTAGACGAACTAGAGCTCAAAAAGTTTAAGTAACATGCCTGTGGTCACGTAACATGAGAAGTGGTGAAATCAGGTCAAACTCAAGTCATTAGGTGACTTGGTATGTTGTCCAAGGTGTGTTCTTCACCTTTCAAGGCTGCTTTTGTATAGACATCCATTTTGCCTCACAGAACTGTAAGCTCTTCAAGTAAAGGTACTTCATATATTGTCAACAGAACTCAGTATGATATCATACTTAAAAGTTTATAAAACTGAAAATGTTGATGTAGTATATATTTTCATATATGACCAATGACAGGGAGTTCCCAAGGTTTGTTCAAGTGGAATGTCATCCTTCTACCAAAGTTTTATCATTTGTAGTAAAGAAAATCTGCTGAGCTTTATTCAACTCAGAACAAACAAAAAAATTAAACTTATAAAAACAGGATTTTGTTATAACTGATGTCTAGAAAAGTAAACTTTAAGGCAATATAGTAAAGTTAAAATCATGGGCTTTGGGGTTAAGAAACTTGCATTATAATCTCAGTTCTACTGTTTACTTGCTGAGTGACCTTAGACAAGTTATTTAACTTGTTTCTGAACCCCAATTTCTCTTACAGGGTGGAAGAGTAAATAAGTTAACACAAACAACATGATTAATAAAGTCCTTAAGACCTTCTAAGTTGTCATTTATCCTCCATGGGTTACTAGAAAAGCTTCCAGCTCAACTCTTCACAGTACTTACAAGTGAAACTAAGAGTATCTTATACAAAACACCAGCTTAACATCAACAACTGTACTACTATTCAACTATGGCAACTATTCTTACCCTTTGGGAATAAGGTGTTCCAGGATACTCTCTTGCTTGGAATTGTAGCTGGCTATAATTTCCATTGGAAACTGAAGGAGGTCCTCTATAAGCATCAAAACCTAAAAAATAAACAACTTACATAAAATTATGAACAAAATTATACTAAACTTTTAAATAGTCTATTTGTATACCATTTTAAAAGTTAAATTGATCCTATAATGCCAACATTAGATTTATGCCTTCTTTAAGCAAACTCTATTAACATTGCTTCCACCATAAGACACCTATTTATAAAATATTGCTGACTTCAAATAAGCCAACTGTAGACATTTACTATTGCCAGAATGCAGGTAGGGTGGGAAATGGTGGTAGGGTAAGTGGAGTACGGTAAAGCTTTTGTGTAGAGCACTTTACTAATACCAAACAATTACTGGAATACTTGGAGCCATATTTAAAACTAAAAAGAATATCACTATTATAGCCTCAAATTTTGTTTTTATCTGTGGCATACTCTGCTAGACAATTAACTAGAAAATAGGCATTGTCTAATTATGACATATTTTGAGCAATCAAGTCAATTAACAAAAGAACAAATTATTCAAATAAGTAAACCAAAATTTATTCCTGGAAACAAAAAAAAAAAAAAAAAAAAAAGATGGTCAACGTTTCACTTCAGTAAATATACAAAATAATTCAGTATAATTAATTTTATTCAGAGCATACCTTTATAACCACCAGGGGACCGGTACGTATTGGTTAGTAATCTCCCACCACGAGTACATCCTCTCACAGATCCCCGGGTATTGCCGAATGGTTGGGAGGGTCTGGGAAATAAATTCGTCTGTGCTGGGTAAAAGGCAAGGCTACCATTGCTTACTTGAATAGTTCCATCAGGATAATTTGCTGCTTAAGGAAACAGTTTTAAAGTCCAAGAGTTAAATTGCAATAAAGATTCAATATCCTTTATACTTAAGTCACTATATCAAAAATTTTAATACAATTTTCTCCCTTTAAAAAAAAAGAAACAGCTGTTATATATGTATAAATAGAGATAGAGTTATCTATGTACAAAGGGCGGTGCAAAAGTAGGGTTACGGTTGTTCGTATGGAAAATAATACAATAATCAATAAAAAATAACACAAAAATAAATTGTTTCACATACAACTGTAGACTGACTTTTGCCCCACCCTGTATATTTAAATAGAACACTATTCAGCCATTTTTAGGAAAAGGGAATTCTAACATCTGCTACAACGTGGAAGAACCTTGAAGACATTATGCTGAGTAAAAGGCCAGTCAGAAAAGGACAAGCACTGGGATAGCACGCACATAAGGTAAGCACCCCGGGTAGCCAGACTCACAGAGACTGAGTGGAATGTTGGTTGTGCGGTTTGCAGGGGAAGAGGAATGGGGAGTTAGTGTTAGATGGGTACAGAGTTTCAGCGGCAGAAGATTTTAAAAAAGTCCTGGAGATGAATGATGGTGATGGCTGCACAATACTCTGAATGTACTTAATGCCACAGAACTGGATACTTAAAAAAGGGTTAAAATGATACATTTTATGTTACATATCTTTTACCACAATTAAAGAAAAAAAGCTAAATATTCCAGATCAAAGAGCATAAGAAAACGAATTTTCATTACTACTGTAATTGAGAAGGCATGTGACAAAAATGTCCTTTAAGTAAAGTACCTGCCCTACATTTTCACAGTACAGGTAAGAAGAGAATGAGGTCATTTGTGGCTAAGTCCAGGGATTTATATTTACTACCTCTTGTAATTAATCAAGTACCCAGAATTCACAATTCATTTGCTCGTTTAAGTTTTAGAAGACTCAACAGGAGTCTGAGATACTAGCACTAAAAATCTACAAGTGCTTCTTAAATTAGGAAATAAAGCTAACTACAAAGTTGCTTATTCTTTTTTTTAGAAATTAATTTCTTTAAAAGATTTTATTTATTTACTTTCAGAGGGGAGGGGAGGGAAAAAGAGAGGGAGAGAAACATAAATGAGTGAGAGAAACATCAGTTGCCTTTTGCAGGCCCCCATGTGGGGACCTAGCCTGCAACCCAGGCATGTGTCCTTGATGAGAATTCAACTGGCAACCTTCTGGTTTGCAGGTCGGCGCTCAATTCACTGAGCCACATCAGCCAGGGCACAAAGCTGCTATCCTTTCATGATTTAGAATAGCATGAAAGATAAAAATAATCTCTCATCTCTAAGCAAACAGTGGAATAAGCATACTAAGTTATATTGTCACATTAATCAATGTTTTTATTATGAGGGTAAAAAAAGGCCAAAAAGCCATCTGTCTGTGTACAAGAGCTAACAGAATGGTTTCAAAAACTTCATAAAAGCAGCTGGACAATGTTTTATCTACCTTCATCACTGTCTATGGCAATCAAAGCCATCAGGTTTAAAAATATGAGGCCATACATTTATATAAGTCAACCATCTAGGTTCCACCTCTACAAAAGTTAAAATGGTGAACTTAATTAAATAGAGGAAAAGGCGTTAAGTATTTGTCAACACCTGAACATGTAAAGAGATAATGCTTACTACTCAGGAAAGAACCGCTGAAGGGTCACTACAGAGTTGCTTTCTATTCAATTAGCTATCATCTAAGTCTTCAAAATACCATATACAAAGACCTTACCAGTCTCTTGGGAAAGAACAGTTTGTTCTACGTGTATAGCTGGCAGTTGGCACTGGAGTGGTGTTTGTGTACTTGCTGTAGTAAAACTTTGATTGTAGCCATGTGAATAGGAGGATTCTTTTATTTCTTGTTCTTTCCTTGGAGGCAGAGGTGCATTAACATTAAATACCTTAAAAGACAAGGGTATGCTGAGTCATTTGTGAAGTTTCATAATGATTAAGGGTGACATCCAGCAAAACGCTGTAACGTTCAATAACTTGTATTTGATGGGCAAAGGACTTCAATCGTGTTTCTCCAAAGAAGATAGATAACCAATAAGCACATAAAAAGATGCTCAACCTCATTAGTTATTAGGGAAATAGAAATCAAAACGACACTGATATACTACTTCATCATACCCATTAGGATGGTTAAAAAAAAAAAAAAAAAAAAGTGTGAGCAAAGTTGTGGCCAAATTGGAACCTTCGTATGCTGCTAACAGGAATGTAAAATGGTGCAGCCACTGTAGAAAAAAGTATGGTGTATCCTCAAACAGCTAAACATAGAATTATCTGTCATATGATTCCGAAATTCCACTTCTGGGTATATACCCAAGAGAATGGAAAGCTGAGATTCAAGTAGGTTTTGGACACCAATGTTCAGAGCAGCACTATTTATAGTAGCCAAAAGGTGGGAACAACCTAAGTGTCCATCAACAGATGAAAGGGTAAACAAAAGGTGGTATATACATACAATGGAATATTATTTAACCATAAAAAAGAAAGAAATTCTAATCCAAGTTATACCATGGATGAATCTTGAAAATACTATATTAAGTAAAATAAGCCAAGACACAAAAGGACAAATATTGTGATTCCGCTTACTCGAGGTGCCTAGAATAGGCAAATTCATAGAGACCAAAAGTAGAGTAGAGGCTACCAGGGGCTTGCCAGAGCAAGGAATAAGAAGTTACGGTTCAAAGGGTACAGAGTTTCTGTTCAATGATAAAAAAAAAAAAATAGATAGTGGTGTAAAACACAGTGGATATACTTAATGCCACTGAATTATATACTTAAAAATGGTTAAAACAGTAAGTAAATTTTATGTTATGCATATTTTACCATAGTAGTAAAAAAAAAAATTCTATTTGATTTCTAATAGAATAAAATCCAGGTACAAAAGTTAATCTTCCTGCTACTATGCTATGATAATAATGTTCACTGAGAATGAAAGCTATATAGGAGAAAAGGATACTCTTTCAAAACTAAAGATGAATTTAAAAAATCTGCAATTTACTGAATTTCTGTCATGTGGCAGGCAATGATCTGTCCAGACTCTGGCCATTGTCTATAAAATATCACGTCTATTACTCTCTAGCCTCTTTTCCCTGCTGCATTTTTCCTCGCAACATACAGCACTTAATGTGTTGCAAATGTACATTTCTCCCTAGCCCCCACCACCATAAAAAAATGTAATATTCTTGAGCACAAAGACTTATCTATTTTTCACTGCTACAACCCCAGTAACTTAAGAACAGTGCCTGGCTCTATAACTACCTGTTTTTTGAATGAATGAACGAACGAACAAACGAATGAATGAACGAACACCAATTTGTACTGGATAGACTTCAAACACATGAAGAGGACATATTGGCATGAGCAAAAAAAGTATTGTGAAAAGAATGTACAAGGCAAGCACAGAAAACTAGTCTGACAGGTTATACCAGACTTCGAAGTTTTTGGATTATCAGGCAAAGGACTTTCAATTTCATTCTGTAATGGACGATTATTTGCTTTTAATTAGGAATAGGAAAAAGTTAGAAAAACCAGTGTGGCACTACTGTGCAGGATGGACTGACAGGGAAAGAGGGAAAGCAAAGAAACTACGTTGTTCTAAGTGGGCAAGGAGGAAGTAATAAGACCAGTGAATTCAGACACCCGAATTCAGACCCTAGCCTGCCCCCTCGTTCCCCTGCCGCTCCACAGTAACTCAAAAGTACCCGGAGTGGGACATTTAAGCACCATCAGGAAAGGTACTTATTGGCTAAGACTTTTTGGTTTTTTTTCTAAAGAACTGTTTTATACTATTCGGTGTTTAGAGAACAAATATACAAACCTAGTTGTAATAGTACCATAAAAATTTTAAACTATAATGTGTAATTTATGTAATCCAAAATACCACACAAATCTGAACAATTCTCTCAAAACCTGCATGAGATCATGATAAAATCAAATGAAAATTTCAACTATGACAGAACACCCAGGTATGTATGTTCTCTCGGTCCAAATATTGATGCTACGGAACATCACTAGTGTGACATGAGAAATGGTTAGTGTTATTAAGACATTCGTACAAAATTATGTTTCTCACCACACAGTTCATTTGTTTAACAGGGGTCCTCAGCTTTGCCTGCTACTCATTTTTGCAAAGGGGAAAATCCTCTGATAAAATACCCACTCAAAATTCTTGACACATTGCCTTTAATACCACAAACAACATTTCCATTGGACAAATGTGAACTCTACCAGCCCAAATGAGAGTAATAAAATGGCACATGTATTCACATAGTACCCAATAACAGATGTAAGAGAAACAGTGGCTTTGTAACAGGAACAACGAGCTGCAATCGTCATTCACATTTCATACTCACCGTCTGCATGGCTTGAAAGGGTGCTGTGCTAATAGTTACTGAACTACTACTTGCTGGAGCTGACTGGAAGCCCTGTTCAGGGCCCTTTGACATGGGAGGATTTGGAGAGGCCAGTGGAGATGGTGGCTTGCATGGGGGAACTGCTGCCTGGGGAGGAAAAAATGCAGCGTCAGCTGATCGCCTACCACGTAACAAGCAGTTAACATACACTAAATCCCAGACTAGCATCAGTCAGCCAGTTCTATAGGATGACAATTGGACACAGGAATGCAAAAGAACAGCTTTTGCTTACAATTACAAATCTCGTCTGCTGAGGATGCACACTAGCATTTGCTTTACACGGCTTGCTGACTAAGTGAAAGAGCCTTACTAACAATCAGTCTGACAGATGAGGCACTGAACTTTTTATGAGTATCCATCTAGTTCTTTTCAAACCCAGAAATGATACTTTCCACTAGGTTAAGAATCTAATGGTATTTCAAATTTATACAGTAGAAAAACCTTGAGTTAGTTCCTTAGTCACTGTTAATTTTTCCCTATTTTAAAATCTTTTTAGTGGATTTATGACAGCTGCCTAAGAAAGAGAACCAAGCTTTATCTAATTTAAATAATCCTTATCTAAAAGAAAAAGCACATCCTTGATTTAACAGATTATAAATCCAAAGGTTTAAAAAGATACCAAAATTCAATCCCAATCAGATTATGAAGCAGATGGTGATTCGCTTGGTAACAAATACTCCTCTTAAAATGAGGAACCAAGTAATTTCAATTTAGACCAAGTCAGTACCATTACAACTAATGTTCATCTACATTTTTTATATCTATAATAAATACATATTCTTGTATAACAATTAACCAAAAGACAATAAAACCTAAGAGTTGCTTTATTAATCACTTCCCCCCCCAAAAAAACCATCCTATCTCCCTATTTCTATCTCAAGGATTTCCTCAAATTTATTAGCAAAAATTATTGCTTTAGAATTGGAAGCACAAATATAATACTGTAAAATTCTTTGGACAACATTAGCCAAAAAGGGAGTGTAAATCATTCCAATTGAGTAAGTGCTAATAGTAACACTATAAAGTTATTGGCTCTTCACAGTTAAATGAATAAAAAGATTTTTCTTCAAGGATTCCTTCAATGTAAATATAGTGATAAACCTGGCATAATCATGTCTAGAACTTCCCACCTTTTTTGACATTAGCAATTTGGACATATTTACTGTACCTGATAAAGCAATATTCTGTAAAGTCTATTTATATAGTAAAGTCACAATAAAGTTACCTGTACAAATTCCAGGGCCACAACATCTACAGAAAGCAATACATTAGTACAGTATAAATGTTAAATTGTTCAGCTGATCATGCCTGTAAATCATTAAATAAGCTGGTTCTGCTATTCTTTAAGACAGAAAAGAAATTAAGATAATTGACCTCATTACCTCAGGAGTCTCTGAGGTCAAAAACTCTGTTTCAGATCCCGAAGAAGCCTGATCGGGAGCCAAGCAAGCATTTGCGCTGCAGGTAACTGGAGAAGCAGCAGCCTGGACACAGGAAGGTATAAAAAGCACATTTTGTTCACTTTACATTTCTTGGGCCTTGAGCTTCCTAATGTTACTTTATTTGAGCACTCACTAGTACAAACACTATACTAAATACTTTACACAAACTAACACATTTAATCCAACAATAAGCCTGTGAGGTAGGTACTACTATCCCCATTTTGTTGACAATCAGGCAGTGGCAAAGAGAAAGACTGAGTAATTAATCACCCTAAATTAAGTGGCAGAGCTGAGATTCAAATCCACGCAGTCAGCTACATTGCCTTTCCAGGCCTGGTCAACAAAGCTACACATCTAATCCCATCTTCACTTATCAAGATTCTTGGCTCTGGAAACCTGGGGCTAGATTTTCAATCTGGCACTCAACGGCAGTTCACTGGAAGGTGAGCTCAGAGTACATTTAACACTCTAGGCATAGCTCTGCCAGAGTAAAAGCATAGGTACTATGCTTTTTTAAGCATAGAGTTGTCTTAGTGTCTTAAAGAGGCAGGCAGAAAAAAATAAAGCTAAAGCTAATAATATTTATAAAATAAGAATTGGGGAAAAGCAGAGTAGGAACTAAGGCTGTGACAATTGTGACCAATAAAAAACTAAGAGTGGCTGGGAATTCTATGGTACAACCAGGATTAGATATAAAGGAGAGACCCATAAAAATCGAGCTATCACAAAGTCTGAAGTATCAGTGAATCAACCTCTTTTATCAAAATACGTTGGTGTGGTTCTCAGAAGCCCAAGTAATAAAATGAGTGAACTGGAAACTAATTAATGGTAACCAGTATCAAACCAGTTATGTTTCAGTGATCTTCTAGAAGGGGTCATCATGATATAACATTTCAGGGGAAGGAGATGGCAGCCAAGTTTCAAAAAGGCCTTATGGGGGGGAAAAAAATCTAGATATACTTCAGAACATTTTATATTACTAAATAAATGGGTACAATTTACCCTAGATCCAACCAAAACATTAGCACCATTATGAGACTGAGTGTTTCTAAAACATGGCCTTTCTTCTGGCCCGCTCATAGACAACCGCCCTAAACAAGTGGGACTGGCTGTTGTCGGGGCATAACGAATCTCTAGCCACTGCAAGATTCACAGATGCTAAGTTAGGGCAACTCAGGCCACTTGATAGTTAAGCTTTAAAGGTTTTGATTTTAGTTAAAAGTTTCACTTAACAAAAGAGATATAGATACATTCTTTACATTAGTATTTATGAAATAGTTAGAAATTATGGCAGTTCCTGATTCCAAAGTATTGCTCCTTGCACCAGCTGAAGGTCATTTTAAGTACTGATGAATAAACATAACGTTACAGAGCAGAACTACTAAACTAGACCAGTGGCTTTTCAAAATAATAATTAGTTTTTCCATTAAAAGCTTCATGTAGAACCCTAATAGCGAGGACAGATAAAATGGAGCTCTTTAGTTTCATCAATGACCAGGCTGAGAGACCGTGCTCAACAAATACATTTTGAAAATTGAGCCCCACCTTATCAAACTAAATATAAACCACTGTAAACAAATGGTATTTACTCAGAAATTTTTGGAAAGGAAGGCAACAACTATTGACCTACCTGGTCAAATATTTAACTTACTGTTGAAGCAGCTACTATTAAGAAAATTACCAATAATACTTTCAGAGGAACCCAAAGAAATTATTTAAAAAAGATAATGACCAGAAAACTAGTGATCTTTGAACTTTACAGATCTCAATGATCTAGTCCCTTTATGTCTCTTAAGTATGTTCTCTGAAAATTAGTTCCTCAGAATGTTAACCATTGTTTGGGGGAACTGGGAGACAAATGGCTAAACATTGAGTTTAAAAAAATTAGTTTCTTTCTTTAGACCCTTTACTATCAGGTCACTTACATAGTTCAGTAGCAAGTGAGATTCCCAGACAAGGTACCTCTGAATTCTTCAGGTTTGCTCTTTCCTTACTAAATCAACTGGCTTTCTGTTATAATCAATGTTTTTCCCATGGTCATTAGGGAATCTTTTGAGGACTGGTTGTACTTAATCTAAAAATCTAGACATATATATATTAGAATCACTAAGTCTGATCATTCTTGCCAATGCAAGAATTTCTTCCCTGAATAGCTGAGTAAATGAAAGATTAATTTGGAGAAGTTACCTGTAATGGCTCTTGAAGAAAATCATTTTGACTGGATAGATTTTGTTCTGCGGATGCTGCAGAGAGTGAAATCAATAGTAAACTACTGAGAAAGGAGAAAGGTTTATGTGTATCAACTGGGTGGAAACTAAAGTTTATACTTTACAGGCAAAAAAAAAAAAAAAAAAAAAGCAGTAGCTGAAAAAACTAGGTCTCAAGTCCATCATGAATTTTCTAATAGAGATCTACAAAGAGTCTGAGAGGACTGTAGAAGAATAGGACACTAATCCCATCTGTAATACATGATATTTTAAGGTTAAATGAGGGAAAGCAGCATTACAAGGCTTCTAAAAGAACAGAAATGACTTTTAAAAATTACAAGGTAATATTAATCGGAAAGATAAAATCTGAGCTATTGTGATTTTATTAATTGATATATGTAAGTTTTGAGTTTCAAAGTAAATCTTAGCTGGGTCATCTGTTTCTTGAGTCATTTTTCCTCTTTGTGTATAGTAATCTACTTTTCAGTTAAGTAGTTTCAGCTTGGCTTCTTGTTAATACCCATCACTTTTGTTAATTACTCTATTCCTTACTTCATCCAGGAATTACTGTATAATCTAGTTGGTATATACTTCTTATTACAGCTGGGCAATGTCTTTGACTACATCACCTCTCCCCTGAGATAAACCAGTATAGAGTAAAAGACCTTGAGTTTGAAGTATCAGACCAGATCCAAATCTAGGCTCCATCATTAATTAGTATGGTACGCAGTACACTAAATATCACTGAGGTAATTCCACTCATACTCAGGATCTAAAAAGCTCAACACTAGATTCATAAAGTCAAATGGAGTCAAGCAAGTTCCAGTCAGAATTCACTCTAAGAACATAAAAAATTGCCACAACAGCTATTGTGCATTTCTGTTCACCTATCTGGAGACTTCCTCTAAAATGCAAACAAGCCAGTTAAGCATGCTAATATCCTAATGGGAATATACCCATATATAACTGATAACATATGGATACACTTAGAATAAATTAACACAGACACAGTTTAACCCTTACGATGTCTAGAGTAAAATTATTTGTCAACAAAATAATTGCTAAACTTAGAGCTGTTTGTTCCAAGTCTTAAGAATGATGACATACCTACTGGGCTACCTGGAGTAGCTGAAGGCGGCTGTGATGATGGAATTGCACTTGAAGGTTTGTCAAAATCCAGAATAGATTCCTAAAGTCAAGTTTTTAAATAATGAATAGAAGCAAAGGTTATTCATTTAAAAGTTATTCCCAATAAATTATGATGTTGTCCACAGCTTTTTAGCTATAGGAATCTAGCTAATTACTATCTCGAAAGGTTAATAAGTCTTTAAAGAAGCAGAAATAAGAATTAAAATTTAAAACTAAATTAACTGTCAAACTTTAAGATTGTGCCAACTTTTATAACCATAATACTAATTCTAAAGCCTATCTTGGAAAACTCCTGACTTGAAGTCTTAAACACAGGCATTAATCCTAATATAGACTGAACCCTCATTTTTATTTTACCTCAGACAATGAGAGGGTCTAATTATTTTCTCTCAACCTCAAACTAGCTCATGGTATTAAATACTTTCATGATGAGAAGTCATTCTCTTCTGTTACCTGCCCATCTTAGTTTTCCCAGAAATGTTTCCAACATTTTGAGTTAGTTACACACTTGTAGTAATTATTTTAGTTCTTTTATTGATCTTCAGGTAATCTGAAGGGATAAGCAATTCCCTTATTTTACAAATAAGTAGAGAGTTGGAAGCTAAATAACTTGCCATAGATTCTACAGCTGGTAAATTGGTAGAAGTGGGATTTAACCAGGGGTATAACTCCAAAGCTCAAGATCTTTTTACCACACAAAAATACCTTATTTGACTATTTCATCCCTCAGTAATATCATGCTACTCTGGAATTCTGTGAGAGTCTGTATATCACAATTTAACATTTAACTACTAACTTAACACAAGTTCACACTCTCATACAATTGGAATATAAACTCCTTAAAGGCAATGAATGTGTTATGATTTTATCAGCACATGGCGCCTCCCAGCATACCAAGCATGTAAGTAGGTTCTCACAATCTCGGTGGAAATGACTGATGATCTATAGCAGTGCTAGTATTTGAGCACTTTAAGCTTTTTACATGTTCAATTATTTTTATTACAACAAACAGAAATAGAAACTATTATCCTTATTTTCAAAGGAAACTGAGGGAGAGAGCTAAGTAACTTGCCTAAACTCTCAGAGCTGGGAAGTGGCAGAGCCGGGACTTATACTCATTCAGACATCAGAACCTACGCTCTAAGCTCTGAACAGCATCATAACACTTCAGATCAGAAGCAAGTAGCCCCAGGAATAGCATTTAAGATGCGTTTAATAATGACTCATACTTGCATAAAGTTACAGGTTCCTTGAATCTGGGTCATCAGATCCTGCAGTTTTTCATTCCTTAATACTGGATCCTTTGGAAGGGTAGAGGAAGAACCTACAGGCAGATGCATAGGCTTAGGCACCTACGAGACAAACCAATAATGTATTAAGAGTAAAATTAAAATTCAATCATCTAATTCAGGAAACTTAGCCTATTGTTTGTTACATCTAAATGAAATCGAAATACATAGCAATGCTCATTTATCAGATTTATCTCAGGTTAAAAAAAAATCCACATAAATGCCTTTTCTAAATAATTTAACTTTCCCCAATGATTCACTTTTTCCCTAGGGGTAAAAATTACTACTACCGCATTAAATATACATTCCATTTCTAAGATATATCTGATTTCAGAAACATTAAGATGCAATAATGTGTGTGTCACTTCCTACAATTGTGTCACTTCCTACAGTTGAGGAAATACACTGTTATATTTCGTTATAAGTAGTACACTTTGAGGGGCTATTGGTGTTTATAAGGTGGTTAGCCTTCGTGCTACATTTGCTTCAGACTGCCACACACCCTGAATTAGACCTAATGTTTATAGTTACTTGTATTGTCAGCATGCCTCTGCCTATTAGCACCTCTTCTCCAACTTTTAATTTGGAAGTCACACAGTTAATTTGTCAAAGTACCATATAAAATAGTTAATAGACCCAAATGAATAAATTAGAATCTCTTTTAGGAGAAAAGTATGAGCCTTAATGCTTAACTTCATGTTATCTAGTCTTTTGTCTTTCAACTCTGCTTTGCCTTTGACCGTACTTACTCGTGTTCTAGACAGTTGAGATTGCCAGACAGATGCAGAGACAAGTGCTGTATTATACACAGAAGCGTCCTCTCAGTTGCTGAAAAACCTTGCAACTTCAGTATAATGCTATCTGTGCCATAAACGCATATTAAATGAGTTCTGACCTTTCCAACTAAACATCCCTGATTTTAAATTATTCAGCAAATAGGATGGTACCAATATTCTGATAGGGCAAAGACTCAGCATTGCTATGCTCAGTGGAATTTCAAGTTGGATTTTTTAAAACAGATTTATTGAGGTATAAAACTGGGTTTTTAAATACAGGTTTCTCAAAATGGTCGACATATTACAATTACTGTATGTGATATGCGGTTAATGAAATAAAGCTATCAATCTTCTGCAAGGTCAGGAAGAAGCTAAAAGTAACTTTAGCACTTGAAGAAAAGAGAAACAAAGGAGAACAAACGGAGACAAGTAACTCTAAAATTATTTTCCCAGGTAGAACGGAGGTAGGGGTAATTTATTTATAAAATGCAATGCTTCAATTTCCCCAAGCAAAATGTTTTTCACACCATTAGAGGACCAAAGTTTTATCAGAAAACTTTTGGCTAAATGGCACAGAAATGCAATGAACACTACCAGAGATGAAGAACACTACTAGAGATGGGAGAATAAAAAGTTCACATTTCCTACCAAATTTGCACTTAAATAGTGGTACATAAATTTTAATGCAATAAAAAAGTAACACTAACTAGCATTGTATCCAAGGACTATTCATTATAAGCCTTCTTCTCTTCCTGAAATAGGTAATCATTACAGAATGAGGCCTTATATTTGACTAACTCTCAAAACCTAATTCCAGAATATTTAAGGCTCATAGTTTCCATCTCCTGAAAATTTTTATTTTGAAAGAGAAATGGAAAACTAATTGATTGTTCCCCAACTACTAGAATATCTGCAACCACCACGTACCTTCTTCAAAGAGTGCAGGCTAATCTGAGTGAATACAAGTAAGTGAAAGAGAAGCAAGAGAATACAGAAAAGTGTAACTTCTATCAGAAAAGGTCACTCATGTGCCAGGTAGAAAATAACAAATGAAATATAACAAGTCTCCCACCCTGTGACATGCATTTACATTTCTCACTTGTTCACATTATGGGCTTGTCTCAACAATCCACTATTTCAATGTCATATCATGTCATCAAATTTTGACATTAAAACAGTATCTTCTCATTGTGGAAATTTCATCTCAGGCTAGGCTCAACAGAGGGACTAGGTCTACTTCCAATTTTCATGGGGGAAAAAATATATGCATTAAAGAATTAAGTGAAATATTGTACACATTACTTTAACATGGGTTTTGTTGATATCTTTTTTTAAAGAAAACTAAAAAGTTATTATTACCACAGCTCATTTGTGTCTACACTGCCAGAAGCAAACTGATACAGATCAACTCACATCTTTGGGTTCTGCATTAAACTTCCTGGGCAGGAGCTGGTCATTTGGTATGAGGCTTCCTGCAGCTGCCCCCCAGGACTTTGGAGAAATCTGTGATGGCGGTGTTAAAGGGCGTTTTTGATTCTCAACATCATTTTCCCAGGATTTAGGAGTCTCTGGCTGTCTTGAATCCTGTTCTACACACATGGGAGTGGTCCATGACTTGCTGATGTCCTGTTCACTCTGCAGAGAAGGTGTCCAAGACTTCGCAGTTGGCTTCTCGGGATCCTGTTCTTTCTGCAGCTGAACTGGCCACGGCTTTGGTGTCTCCTGCTTCTTCTGTTCATCCTGAGCACTTCCTGCTTTGGATTTAGGAGTTTCTTGCTTCCATTGGCTAGGAGTTAGCTTGGGTTTGGAGACATCCTGCTTCTTCTGTTCTTCCTGCAAAGTGGACCTGAGTTTTGCAATCTCTTGTTTCCTCTCTTCTAAGGAAACTGCAGGCTTTGTTAGCTCCTGGTGCTTAACAGAAGACTCCCAGGACTTAAAGGATTCTTGTTTCTTCTCGCCATCTGGTTCAGTAAGCACATCCCAGCATTTGGAGAGATTTGGTTTTCTAGCATAACCTGCTTCCCAAGACTGTTCTTCATTCTGTTTGCTTGAATAATCTACTTCTGTTATGTAGCGTCTGTTAAGAAACTAGGCCAGAGGAAAAAAATGTGCTGAGTCACAGAAGTTATAGATGACCTTGAGCGGAACAGTGAACTCTCTCTTAGTGTTCCTGTATCCACTGGTCTGAACTGCTGTGCTAACAGAAGCTTCTGTCCTTATTCTACTTGAAAAGACTGTCCTACTTTTTTGTCTATCCATTTTCCCTCAATTAACAAATACAAACTTGGACATTTGAAAAATAATAATCTATATTTGACTGGCAGAGTTGGAATAACCCTAATAAAAGAGCCTGCATCAAGTAAATGTGGCACCATGATGGGCAGTTCTCAGCAGTCTTAGGTGAATAAGACACAGATTGCTACTTTCAAAGTAACCAAGTTTGTATTTCTGACTACCCACCTGACACCCTTAAATATTAAGGCAGAGGATGGTCCAACTACACAAAATTATACCATTTAACCTTAAGCCTTATGTTTCCTGAGTTACCAGACTCTCCTTTATTTCCATTGTATAATAATCAATACTGTGATTTTGCCTCTTTCATTCCTTTCAGCTTCTATGAATTTCAATGTCATTTTGGAACAAACAAATACCTCTTCTGTTACTAATCTGAGTACATTTTGGAAAGACTGAAATTCTACCCATTTTTAAATGCTAACACAAGGACCAAAAACAACAATAACAACAGCTTCTAAGTAATTTAGAAGTTAAGCTCACTCCTTTAATCCTCACCATAACCACATGAGGCAGACATTATTATTACCCTCATCTTAATGCATGAGGATAACAGACACATATATCTCACCTGAAGTCACTACGCTAGTAAGCTTCAGAGCCAGGGTTCAAGCTTAAGCAGTCTAGCTCCATGGCATTAACTCCCAACTGTAACACCACATGAAAGTTCAAAAACCAAAATCGGCAAGTTAACTTTCAGTACCTTACCTCTTGTGGTTGTATCTCTGGCTGTGTAAGTTCCACAAGAGACTCTGGGAAGATAAAAGAAATATTGAATAAATAGTAGGTAAACTATGAAGTTCTCAAACTGCTTACAACTAATTCATTCTAACAACATATTTCAGAAGAGTTATAGAAAAAGGATAGTAAAATTAACTATATTCATGGCAGGAGTGATTCTCGCTATTGCTTGTAGGTCAAAAGCTTATGGTCTAAAGACTAATTGAAGCTAAAAGCTCTCCTCATACAAGATACTCTCTAAAGTCAAGTTATAGTTAAAAATTCATTTCTGATTGAAAATAAGACTATCTCCTCTTACCCAAACACAGCTTCTTTCAAGTTGGAATTACAGCTCCAGTTCCATGGGATAAAAATTAGTTATCTCACTTGAAATACAGACCTTAAAGGCCTCCTACAAGCCAGTTTAAGGTTGGGAGGAGGTTAGGGAGTGCAGATACTGAAGCACTGGATTTAGTATTAAGAACTATGAGACATGAACGTGAGGAATGACATGCATCTTGCTCGTGGCTTCCAGGAGCCTTCCCGGACTACCACCTTAGAAGTGATATTTCTTAAATAAATCCAGCTTCAACAAAAAAAAGCAAATGAGCAATTTACTCAAAGTATTTTTTCCGCAAGAAAAGTGGAATTTTGAAGAAATCCATTTCCTTTACTGGAAATATTATATTTATTTTGGCAATTTTTTCACAAATCAGTATGTTAACCTTAGGTTATTTAGACTCTACTTCTACTATAGTATTGGATTCTACTATAACTTACATTTCAAACAATTTCAAATGGAATTATCCTACTAACAGTTTAACAAAGATATTCAAACTCAATAAATGTCTCATTTTAACAGTGTACAGTACTCTATTATAACACAGCGTAACCTAATGTTTCTATTAAGGTTCACCCTTAATAGAAGATAAATCACGGTAGTAAAGTCCCGATATGTTTTCCAACCTGAAGCTTATCCTATTGCAAGTGAAGAGGTCCATGCGTGCAGACACTGACAAATTAAAATAGGGCACTCCTTTCACAATGATTTGACTCATTTTGGGTGTAAAACATGCAACCACTATAAAGAATTTCAGAGATCATAACAAACCTGACTCTTTGACAGATTCAGTCTTCAATAATTGTTTTTTCTTCTCTGATTTTATTAGCATTTCTTCCTCCAATGATATTTCTTTTTCCTGAGCATTTTTTGGAACTGGGATACTTTCAAAATAGCCTGAGTTCAGCAATTTAGACAGTAGATCTTTCATATGTTTATCTAAGAAAGAGTGAATAAGGCTTAGTTATTTTATAATCTAAAAGGTCATGGAAAGTTATTTGAAATAGAAATCTTAATTTTATCCTACTTATATCATCATTATAACATTCTACATTAGAGGGGATTCAAAGAACTGGTCAGTACCAGGAAAAGTAAATATACAGTCCACCTTTGTGTCAAGCTAAATCAATATAAATTTTAAAGATCAGAATCCCAAAGTTCAGCAAGTCACTTAAGTTTCTCTGGGCCTCCATCTCCACGATCTGAAAAATGACTAAACAATCAGAGATCCTTATCAAAAACTCAAAACTGTTTTTTAAAAGCACACATTATTCCCTGAGCTTAAGAAAAAGTCATTTCTCTCATCTGCTCCCAAGACATCACAGCTAGCAATTACTTTATCTTCCCCAGGTAATTAAGGCTTTAGAGAAATAAAAGCTCCTTAAACATAACCATTAGAAAATGCTATCTTGGACAATCTCTAAAGGATTTCTAAACTACAAAATTCCATGATTAAGACTGTACTCTTAAGTTATGCTTTATGTCATTCCTAGCACATCACCCTTTGATGATCAATAAAAAATCTTAAAATGATTCTTAAAAAGTCACTGTACCAATAAATAGGTCTAAAATCTATTTTATTTTTAATATCCACTAAAAATGTAATTCCCAAATTAAGCAGAGTTCCCATACTTGATTTGGGTCTATTATTCCTTTCATAGGAGTACTGTGACATAGATTTTTGTCTTTTTTTTTAAGATAATCAACTTTGGGATATAATTTACAAACAACAAAATTCACCCATTTTAAGTGCACAGTACAGTTGTGTGAACTTTCACCAGAACAATGATATAGAACATTTTTATCAACTCAAAAAGTTCCTTCATCCCTGGATGGTATGGCTCAGTGAATTGAGTGCCTGCCTGTGAACTGAAAGGTTGCCAGTTCAATACCCAGTCAGGGCACATGCCTGGGTTCCAGGCCAGGACCTCAGCTGGGGATGAGCAAGAGGCAACTGATTGATGTATCTCTCACACATAGGTTTGCCTTTTGCACATCGATGTTTCCCTCTGTCCCTCCCTCCCCTCCCCTCTCTATAAAAATAAATAAAATCTTTAATTAAAAAAAAGTTCCTTCATGTCCCTCTTATAATCAATCCCTTCCCCCTACTCCCTGGCCACCACTGACCTGCTATCACTCTAGTTATATCTTTTCTAGAATTTCATATAACTGGAATCATACCATATGTACTCATTTTTTGTCTGGCTTCTTTCACTCAGCATAATTATTTTGAGATTCATCCATACTGTTGCATATATGAATACTTCATTCCTATTTTTATTGAGTAGGTTCCACTGTATGGATATACCACATTTTGTTTATCAATTATCAGTTGATGTATATCTGGGCTGTGTTCAGTTTGGGACTTTTATGAATAAAGCTGGTATGAACATTCATGTACAAATACTTATACAAACATATGTTTTCAGTTCTCTTGGGTACTAGAAGTAGAATTGCTTGGTAAGTGTTCACTTAATTTTATAAAAACTGCCAAACTAATTTCCAAAGAATTTGCATCATTTTGCATTCTAACCAAGAAATTAATTTCTGTGATTGTAATTTGGAAGCACTTAGAAATTTTGTTACAATTATAGATACGTATAGTATTTTTTAAAAGGAAGCGATCACTATTAACAAAAATGTTTACTAGCTTTGAATGAGTTTTCATTATCTTAAATTGGCACACAAAACTATGTACTTCATGTCTGGTCAATTGAATTTGGTCATTGGGCCAAAGTTTATTTAGGAAGCCAAAAGAACTCTTTCTCTCCAACTCATTTCCAGAACAACAGACAGTGATGCTTCAATAGACTATGTGGCTAAACCATTCATATTTTCTCAAGCAGATGTGGTAGATAAGTCTTGACATTAACAATGTGTGGATTTAAGATTCTTAACTAGAACAGGTACAACTATGCAGAAAAAAGAACTGAACTCCAAAATGGTCAAGCTAATGTGAAAACTAACACTAGATCTTAGCTCTTGTTCCCAAATCATAAAGACTTTCCACTTCAAAACTTTCTCTAGTTTCCATTTTAATTAGCACAATTACACAATGGCTGCTTTTACCAGAACAAAGAGATCATTCTTCTGATGAATATAGTATTGTCAGACATGTAAGTTCTGGTGGACTAACAACATTTCAACCCTCGATATCATTCTAAATGTCTATGCATAAAGTTTAGGATTTACTGCATAAGTCCAAAGGAGGGAAAACTCACATGTCGTTCCTACCACCGCTTTCTCACTACCTTCCAAAAGGTCCCAAAAGTATAAGGATGACTGCTCCATCTGGTCTTCAACACTGATAAGGAAAAGCAGAAGCAGGACAAAGTGGTTTTAGAGGTACATATATATATTGAAGTGGTACCATTTATACAATTAACCCATAAACGACCAAGACATTCAATGTGAATTTTTGTCATCTTACTCTTTGAAAATGGAAAATTGAAGTTTTTTAAAGATGACTAACTGCCCATTTGTGGATTCTAAGTGTAAGCACTTTTCCTCAAAAAGAAAAAACAAAATAAAGATTTTTACCAAACACAGATATTAAGGAATAGACCAAAAAGAGTTCCAAGCTGTCAGCACAGTAGCATTCATTATCAACCTTATGTCCGAGAACAATGGAATGAAAATATTAAGAGCTGCATTTAACTGTAAAGAGAGCAGCTTATTTTTCAAATTATTTTCACCTAATTTCACTCCCTAAATCCACTGAGGTAGGAAAAGGAAAACACCAAATAGGAGTAGGCTATCAGAATGGGAATGTATGTGTGTATGTATATATGTATGTATGTATGTATGTATGTATCTTATATATGTATGGCTGTCTACAGGTAAAGAGTTTTATTAGGTTCCTTCTTGATACAAGGCTGACTTCTAATAACAGTTGAAATCTAACTGTTTTAGCATGGCTCACAGATGCACATTGGAATAGCATGTATCTAATAAAGCCAAGAGCATACCTGCTCATTAGCTAATTTATTTCATCAAAGCAAGACTAGAAAGAGGATACGTGGAAGGAGGGAAAATGAGTAGCCTCAGTTTGCTGATTTTGTATTTTAAATTATCAGGTTTCTTCCTCCGTATTTATTCACAGCACAAGAACACCAAACAATTCTCACCATAAAACTTAAATGATACTGGCCAAGTTAAATTTTATTTACCTCCACTTAAGCACAGCAGTTAAAAGGCAAAGACCCTCAGGTAATATAGCAGTCTGAGATAATTACAAAAAAGAATTTTAAGAACATACATAATTAGTGTTATAGCTAATATTTGCATAAGGTTAAAACTTGATGATCAGACAACATTTTTGAAATCCGTGTGACATTAAAGAAGTATGTTAATGCGGTCATTCAAATCCACTTTCCTCCCAGACAGTCTATCAACCCTGTCAGAGTCTAGGCAGATCCACACTGCCCATATAGAATCAAATTAATGTTTTCTTAATTACTAAATATAGCTATATGTTTGTATTTATATAAGCTAAAGTATTATGGGTTCTACTTGAGAAAAATATTTTCACTAGCTTACCTCAGACTTTCATTTCTTTCAGGGCAGGTCAGTTTTGAAAATTTAATGAGGTAGTCAAGTTCTTTTAAAGGCAAATACACTGCACCATTCAAGCCCTCTTTCAAGTCCTTCTGTACATGCTCCTGCATCAAGTTCTGTAATACATACTGAACTTGAAGTACGGTGCAAAGCTTTTTCTTCTCAGCCTCGAGTTTGAGCATGTGCTCCCTTCTCTGGGCCTTCTTCTGAGCTTTAAGCAGCTGTTAAAAAGAAATGCTAATTAAGTTTGACAACTCTCCACCACCCATTATCACCAACTGTAGTCTAAAAAAGGCTAATCGCAGAGCGTTTAGATAATAAATCTTATATATGGGGTGGGAAAAGTAGGTTTACAGTTGTGAGTATCCAAAACACAGGGTTTATTATTGTGTTATTATTTATTATTGTGTTATTTACTTGTATTACAATTATAAACCTATTTGTTCCCACTCCTGTACTGTGAAATTGATAAATTCATTTAACCCCGATTCCTTCTTCAGCTTAAGAAGTCACTGAGTAATAAACTGGTTTGTCTGGTTTGTAACCAGAGCCAATGGAGTCCAAACACCTAATTCCCAAGTCACCTTTCCACATTAATGTATATCAAGCCTTTTAGACCAAATTTTTTAAGAAAATGCTTCACTTTGTTTTGGGTTTTTTTAAAAAAAATCTCATGTTCCAAGAGAAGAATATTTAAACTATAATGGTCAGTTTTCAACCAAGCAAAGACAACTGGCTAAAACATAAGGAATTAAAAACTAAACAGAAATAAAATGTCTTACTAATGTAATGCCAAAAAACAGCCACAGCATAAAGGTTTATTTTAAAAGTAAAATTAAGAAATATTTTCATAATTGTCAGTCAGGATGGAGCTTTATCTTCCAATATTTAGCTGATAAAACACACAGAAAATTAGTGTCTACTCTTAAGGCCCAGACTATAATACCATAAAGTCTGACATAATACGTCAGTCTCAGAAGTGGCTTTCCATTAAAAAAAAAAAAATTTAATTAAAAAAATTAAAAGTACTATCTATTTCCACTAAGAAATCTGAAAGTTCTTTTCTTCCCATAGGTTGTTTTTCTGATTCTAATGTTTCCTTCATATTGGATATTTTATGAGGTATAAAGATTACAAGAACAAAAGGAAAATCTATAAGATTTTTCCTATAGATGGGTTAAGTTACTTAGATATAGCATCAGTATTGAAAACTCTACAAAAGAGGTTTGTATGTTTGTAAATCCAAACAAGATAAAGATGCGGGGGGGAGCACTCAAGAAAAAGACTCGTTATGGCACTACTAATTAGTAGTCAGGAGAGGATACGGAAACAACTTAATAAATTTGACTTGTGCCACTATCAGAGACAAGAGACACGGAATGAAAATGAAATTTTGAGAATGAGGAACAGGCTCATTGGTTGGGGGTTATGTGCGCAAGAATATTTTCTTCAGGATGGGAAAGGCTCAGAAAAGCTTTTCCAAGGCTGCAATATGGACTTAGAGCAGTAATAACCAAAACTACCAAAGGATTCTCAGTTTCTGCTTGAGAAGAGGAGGAAGTACAGGGATGGCAAGTCCAGCTATCCAAGACAATGGGATTCTCCTGGACACAGTCTCACGATGGTAAAGTGAAAGGCAACGGATGCTGAGGACATCTGCAGGACTGTAGCACATGGTTCCCTCAGGTCTCTCGTTAGCCATCTCCTAAGGTTGGATTAGGTGTTCTTACAGGCTCATGCCACCCTGAACATCCCCTACCAAAGTATCTATTATATTTAATGCTTATCTTGTTATTTATCTGCACCTCCCTTCCCTTGGCTTCAGCTCCGTGATGACAAGGACTATATGTACCTCTATGTATCTCCCTGTTGTTCACCAGTGTATCACTAGTGCCCAGCATAGAGTTTGACACATAACAGGACTTCATATATTTGCTGATTCAATCAAGTATCAAGTAAGAAAGCACGCTGTCTCCTAGATTATAATCAATTGTTCACATCACAAAAATCACTGACTGCAGCCTATTCCGCCATATTTATATAGACAAGAAGTCAGATTATATTTTCTTCTCTTCTTCCAGCTGAGAACTGGTTTGGAAAGAAGATACAAAGTATAAATTTCTATCAACTAATAATATTGAATAATAAAATTTATTTTCTGAACCATGACATAGAATGATAAATACCTACCAAGGGACAGAGCTCACATCATGAAGACAAAGAGAGATGTGGCTGGGCTGAACAGGAGGCTTTCAACTTTCATTTGAAGGGAAAGAAGAAAATGTTACACAAACTGTAAAACTGGCTATCATAGAAGAGGTTTGACAAAAGAAACACTTCAGTAAAAGAAGAGATGAAAAATCACTAGGCTGGAAGGTACTGACCAATACTTCTAGGGTCTTAATTCATTAAGACACAATCCAAAGTACTTAAGCATCTCACCTAAAGTGAAAGTAAATCTATAGTACAAACAAGGAAAAATAATCTCATACATAACAAAATTTGGTGGATTAGAAACTACCTCTAGACTATAGCAGTGGAAAAGCATTTAATAGATAGGTACCATATCCATGGCACAAAGTAGAGAACACAGTTTTTAGAAATAAAAAGTATTAGGGCCCTACCTTACTCTAGCACTTGTACTGGCTACATGACTTTGAAGAAGTTCCTTCTATTCTGAGCCTCAGATTCCTTTCCTGAAAAATGGGGCTATTTATATCTACTTTCTAGGTTGTTGTAAAAATCAAGTGGACTTTCATAGGTGCCTAGCACATGGAAGGTGTTTTTTAAAAAAGATTTATATCTTAAAAAAAAAAAAAAACACCACCATATATTGAAAAAACAAACACCTAAATGGAAAACTAAAATTTGATAGGGTAACTTCGAGTAAAGAGTGTCAATGGAGAATTTTTTTAAGTATTATAAAAGTACACTTCCAACCATTCAAACAGGAGGATGATAATGAATGGTCCTTTTATAGTAAAATGGACCAAAACTAAATAAACTTAATATCTTTGGGGGTAGAGAATCAATCATACAAGAAAAAAATTGACTTAAAAGTAAAAATAGACTATAAATATTTAATAACTGTAGGATTTAGAGTATTAAAATTAAGTGATATATGAGTGAAAATGAGTTAAAATATGCTATGGCTGACAAGAGTTAATATCATCTTAAACTTACACTAACAGAAGAACCCAGAAAACTGGAGGAAGTGGCTCTATAGTAGGCTACTTTAAATTTATATACCACCTTTAAGAGCTCATGACGGCAGACATCCAGAAGAGAGCAACTCAGGACTACGTTACAAGGATTAAGATGGTAGATATCTTCAACCTAGGAATTATGCTTTGGGGTTTTGGTGGGTGCTTTTTGCGGGGAGGAAGTTGGGAGGGGTTAGTGCACAGGTGGTTGAAGGCACAGGAATGGAGAAGAGAATTTCAGTTCATGATACAATAAGAAAATAACCAAAAAGTAGAAGAGATTATCTTATGAGGCATGCTCCCCAAATCAGAAATGAATTTACAAAAAAATTTCAATTGTTAGAACATGATCTTTAAAGGGCCTCCTTAAGATTTCTAAAACAGTGGCGAACACTTCATTAATTCCAAATGCTCTAGACTTCATATTAATTATTGATTAAATGTCAGAGATAAAAGTTTGAATTGCTAGCATTGAGAACCTAACAAGTGAGACCAGATGAACTCTAACATAAATCATAAGTTTTCCTGGTAATAACTGCCATCGCTTCAAGAAGAGTCTACCAATTCTGTTTCCTAATATGTTAAATAATGCTCAACTTATAAGCATATTGTATATAAATTTACTAGTCTATATTATAAAGTACCTTTAATAAATGTATTCATAAAAATAGTTTTTATTCCCTTCTCAGTGATTTCTATAATCCATAGTGAAATAATACACATTAATTAGATAACTAATAGTTTATTTACAATGTCTCATATACAGATGTCATTTGTGCTTTCTTCAGGCTCTGGGAATCTGAAAACACTAGCTCTGGAGTAACTATCCTCAACTCTCATCCACAATAAAATATCAGCAGGAATGAGATGAATGGTAACCAAATACTATCATTAAACATTCACATTTTCTTCAAGATCAGTGGTTGAACTGGTTTTAGGAAAAGCAAAGAAAACATACTCACATCCTGGCTCAGTCCTGAAAAGGTTTTCTGAAGCTCCTTGGCAAATTCTAAGTTATGTAGCACTTCTTCATATTTCTCTACTGCTTCCTACCAAATAGGAGAAGAAAACACCAATTCTGTGAACTTTATGTACAATTATGTTAACATAAGTGTTTCTTAAAAACATAAGAGATTTAAGACTTTATGAATTAGTCATTTACTATCTATCTATCTATATATATATAAATCAAAAAAGTAGAAAGAGTATTCAGAAGTTATACAAAGTTATGTTTTAAAATTCAATTTTATACTAGAAATCTGAGCCATAACAATAATGATGATGATAATAATAGGACTGAGTCCCTATCGATAAAGTCCAAGGTCAGAGAGGCCTATGGGTTTTAAGATCACTGAACCAATAGGATTTTTGTCAATATTCATTTACTACTCAAATATATTATACAAGTAGCAAAATGAGGATCACACAGATGAATAAGCAACTTCAAGAAATTTATACTATGGTAGAACAGACTTGTAAACAATTACCTATAACAGACAAAATAAGACTGTAACAGAAATACTGCAAAGGGGCAAATTTATATAGCAACATTATTCATTATAGCCCAAAATAAAAATAACCCAAATATCCTGCAACTGGTAAATGGATAAACAAAGAAATACTCATCAGCAGTAAAAAAAGAAATGAATTACTGATACATGGTCTAACATGAATGAACCTAAAAAACATAATACTAACTCAAAAAAGCCAGATGTGGAAGAAATACCCAGAAAAGATCAAATTTATAGAGACAGAAAGCAAATAAGGTTGTAAAAGAGAACTTGGAGGGCTTATAAAAATGTCTTAAAACTGATTGTTGTGATAGCTGCATAACTCTACAAATTTACTATAACTCATTGAATTCTACACTTACATTGGGTTAATTTTCTGATATGTATAGGATACGTCAATAAAGCTGTTTTTTAAAAGTCTGATAATACTAAGTCTTTACAAAGGTATAAAGCAATGGGAACTCCTATATACTAACAGTATTAGACTAAATTGGTACAGTAATTTTGGAAAACAGTTTGGCATTTTTACCTATGAAGTTCACTATTAAGTATGTACCCAGAAAAAATCTTGCACCTACGTCTCAATAACACATAGAAGCTTGCTCAAAGGAGAATACCAGAACATAAAAGCAAGTCAAACATCCATCTATTTTGTTAAAGAGAGGAAGGGATGGAGAAAAAGAGGGAGAGAAATATCGATCGGTACATACCCAGACTGGGACTAGGCCTATAACCCAAGCATGCGTCCCGATCAGAAATCGAACTAATAGCCTTTCACTTTGTGGAACGACATCCAACCAACTGAGCCACACTGGTCAGGGCTCAAACATCCATCTATTTACAGACTACTACTGAGAAGAGAAAAGCAAATGATATATAGCTAGCTACTTGAATCAATATAAAAATCCTACAGAAAAAGGCAAACTGCAGAATATATAGTATGACAGCATTTATTATAAGGTACAAAAAAGCAACTCTAACAAATTTAAGGGCAACACACAAGTGCTATTAAAATAAAAGCAAAGTAAAAAGGGGGAAAAAGTTCAGGGTCAGATTACAGGAGTAAGTACTAGTAAGGAGCTTCAGTGGTTTTGGAATAATATACTATTTGAGTTGAGTGAAAGGTTCTGATGCTTTCTTTATTAGGCATTATAACTTATAGGCAACATTTTGTTTGGAACATGTATTTCATAATAAAAAGGTAGAGAAGCCTTCTAACTGCAGAACCAAGAATGTATAGGTAACATAACCACAGTATGGTAAGTCCTCAGTCAACATCAACAGGTTCTTGGAAACTGACTTTAAGTGAAATGACATATAATAAAATCAATTTTACCAAAGGCTAATTGATACAAACAAGAGTTAAGTTCCTACACCATATTTCTGATCACGAAAACATCAAACTTCTAAATGAAGACCCCAAACACTTCTACTAGTAAACCCTGAAATAAATATGAATACCTTTAGAAAGATCAAAAAAGAAGGAAAGAATGATTTTCCATCATGCTTATTCCAGTTCAGGGCCATGGGTGGCACCTTAGGGTGCCGGGCGCCCACCCTGGAGCAGGATGCCTTTCCACGGCAGAGCGCACTCACACCCACACACTCCTCAGACTGCAACAACGTAGACATGCCATTTCTCCTAACGTGCACATCTTTAGGAAGTGGGAGGAAACCGGTGCTGGAGAAAACTCACACAGACACTGGAGAATGTGCAAACTCCACAAGGCAGTGGCCTTGGCTGGGAATCAATTTTTTTTTTCTCATCAACATTGTAACAAAACGTCAAAGACCTGCTGTATACAGTCCTCAGAGGGATGTAAAACGTCTCTATGGCCCAAACCCATATCTTAAATACTTACTAGACATCATGCTTTATGCTTCATAGACATGTTAAAAATCAATGGTTCAAAATTAAGCTCTATATCCTGGGTTTTGCCACCTATCCAACTGTTCAAGTCAGAAACTTGGAAACGACGCTTGTCTGTTACCTCTACTCCTACATCCAATTGTCAAGCTATGTTATTTTACCTGTCAAATCCCACTACTTTACTCAAACCCCTCTGCCACTACTGAGGTACCAGCTCTGGTAATCTCTGATCGAAACTATAGCCAACCCTTATCTAGCCTCCTTACATCCATATTTATCATCTCCAAAACATTTTTCACACAGAAAAGTGGTTTCTTTAAACTACAAATCTGTAGTTATTCTCTGCTTAAAACATATCTATATCATTTCTGATGCCCTTAGGAAAAAGCAGTCTTTAAATGGCATACCAGGATCTGCACGATGTGTCTCCCATCCCAGTTCATCACTCCATTCGTAGTGGCCTTCTTTCCAGTCTCTTAGAAAGACTTTGTAAAATCATTCTTTTCCTTCTCAGGGCCTTTACACACGTTAGCATTTGCCAAGCCTGCTCTTTCTCTTTCCTCACTTTAACTGGCTAAGTCAGTCCTATTCAATTTTTAGGTCTTAACTAAAGCACTTCTTTTTCAAAGAAGCTGTCCCCAACTATCCAGACTAGGATAGATTCCTCCTTACAATCTACTATCATTCTGTACTTCGCCTTAACATCCATCATATTTGTATTTGCTGCCTCTCTTCCCAATCACATTGTATCCATGTGGGCAGGCATCGCATTTGTGCCTGAGATACCATAAACCTAGCGTTAAGCACAGCACCTCCCAGGCTAGATACTTAATATATTTTTGTTGAATGAATAAAAGGTAGTTCAGAACATGATCTTAGAGAGCCTCAAATATGCTAAAAATTCTGAACAGAATTTAAAACTTTTGGGTAGAATCATACATGAGATTTCTGTTTCAAGAAAAGAACACTGGAGGGAGGAGGACTGGTCAAATGGAAAAGGTCTCAAGAACAGGTTAAATAGGAAGCTCAGGTCACATTGAGGTGGCTTGCCCTGACTAGGCCAGTGGGACTGCAGAAGAGAAAAGACTCCATATCACTTAATGAGTGTAGCATTATGCACTAAATATAACGTAGAGTCAGAGTTTAGCAACAAGGGATAGGCACTAAGTCCTAATTCTTTAACAATAAAAACTTCAGTGGAACTGAAACTATTAAGTACTCCTTGCTTTTTGCTCACTCACTCACTTGAATCTCAGTTCTCTGTTTCAAATACAGATAAAAACCAAAATATTTAAAAGTTACAAATGGGACTCTAGAAAACATACTTAAGACATTTTTCTTACTATTTCAAAGGCGAAATCTAGGTTTATGTGTGCAATCTTATTGAAAGCTTAGCAGTCTTCACAGGTTACTTCAGAGCTATACTGCTAAAAGGTTGCAATAGCCACAGAGGTCACAGAAAGCTTTACTTACAACATCACAAATACGTGTTGGGTTAGAGCAATTACAAACTAAAATTATAAAATTTCTAGCAAAAAATCTGAAATACAGAATCAAATGCTATAGTACACAACTTAAGCAATACTTAAAGGAAAATTCACAACCTTAAATACGAATCAGCTAGGGGAGAGGGAAGAAACGAATTAAGCACTCAACTTAGAAAATGAAGCAAATCAAGAAAAGCAGAAAGATAAAAGGAAAAGAGACAAAATAAGTCTGAAATATGGCTTAAAATTTTTTTAGAAAACCACTACCTAACTTAAATAAGAGTAAACTAAGGAAATACAACTACACAAAAATTAGAAACAGAAACTAACACGAACAGAATTTTATTAAAAAATTACTTTGCCCCAATATGTGCAAATAAATTTTTGAAACTGGACAAAGTAAGTAAATTTCAAAGAAAAGTTTTGAAAAGTTGACTTCCCCCCCAAATTTAACCTTTTAATTTTCAAAGAAAAAAACAGAGACTACTACCCAAAAATTCCCACCTCCCCCCCCCCACCAAAAAAAACATGCTTGGATAGTTTCACAGAACAATTCAACCAAACTGTAAAGACCACACATTATGGAAGCACTGACATGACATTAAAAAGAAAGGGGTGGATAAATAGATACAACACAGAGGATTTTTAGAATGGTGATAGCATTTTGTATGATACTATAATGGTGGGTACGAGCCTCCATTTCTGGGTCATGGATACATTTCTCCAAAGCCATAGAATATACAACACCAAGAATAAACCCTAAATGTAAACTAAGGACTTGGAGTCATGATGATGTGTAAACATAGATTTAATTATAGCAAGTGTACCAGTCTGGTAAGGAATGTTGGTAGTGAAGGAGGCTGTGCAAAGGTAGGGCTGGGGTATATGGAAATTCTCTATACTTTCTGCTCAATTTTGCTGTCAACCTATAACTGCCCAAAAAACAAAGTCTATTTTTTTTAAAAGGAAGAAGCAAAAATAAAGGCCCCAAAAGTATGTATATTAAGCTAAGTTTTATAGAAAATGGAAAAACAAGCAGGAAGAATATTTATTTATATAGGCTTAAAGAAACTCTGAACAGATATATAAGAATCTATTAGCAACCATTATTTTGTAAGATGAGAACTGAACACAGGAAGGATAGGGTAAAAAAACTATCTCTTTTAATACTTTCTAATTTCTTAACTCTGTGAATTATTATCAATTTAAAACATAAACTTAGTGCTTCTTAATTAAATACCACAACTACTGAGAGCTGTTATCTGAGAGGTCAGATTATAGATTTTTCTTCTTTGGACTTACCTGCATTTTCTAAATTTCTACCTTAAACATTTAATGCTTGCGTGAGATGTTATTTCTCAAAAGTACCACAAACCACATGCTTAATAACATCTAGAAACCTAATATTCAATCATCTTATATTTTGGTACATCTATATGTAATAATTCATATGCCTACTATATACTACACACTATTCTAAGTAATAGGAAAACAGCAGCGAACAGACAAAATTTCCAATGGAACTCAGTGTAAGGGCAGGAAACATAAACAAAACTTTACAGTTTATCAGAGAACTGCTTCTATGAAGAAAATTAAAGCAAGGAAAGTAGCAAAGGAATGTGAATGGGAAAATGGAGGTAAAGTGTTGTCAGGACAGGCCTTACTGAGATGACCTACAAATAAAAAGCTGAAGGAGAGTGGGAATTGAGCTATTTACACATCTGGGAAAAAAACACCCAGGCAGTAGAAACAACACATGTGCCTGGGATATTTGGGGAACAGCAAGAAGGCCAGTGTAGCTGGGAGAGAGAAATGTACAGCTTTTACAGGAAAGCTGTAAAAGGAAATAGGGAGCATATTTTACAGGGCCTTGTAGGCCATAGTAAAGACATTCTGTCACCCTGATGGGAACCAAGGGGACTTCTGAGCAGAGGAATGGCCATCTGACTTGGATGTAAATGGGACTACTGAAGCTACTATATTGAGAATAGACTTGAAGAGAGAGGGCAGAACAGAAAAACCTGTGAGGAAGCTATTACAGTCATGCAGATGAATGATGATGTGGCTTGGACCAGGATAACAGAATCAGAACTGATAAAAAAAAATGGTAAGATCCTAAATTTATTTTGAAGGTTGAACTGATCAAACTTGCTAATGGCCTAGATGTAAAGTATGGAGAGAACAATGAGATATTCTCCAAGGTTTTTTGGCCACTCTACCCTAGACCATCAAGCCATTAACTGACATAGCTAAGATTAAAGGGGATATAGGTTTTGGGGGGCAGGGTGAAATCAGATGTCAAATACACAGCTGGACATAAAAATCTGGATTTCAGAAAACTAATCTATTGGCAATATAAAGTTGGTAGTTGTCAGCATATTCCTCAAAAGAGAAATCAAAGTTAGTATTACAGAACAACAAGTGGTTATGAAGACAGTAAAAAATATTGAGACTAAAGTTTGACTGGAGCTCTGAAATACAACATATTCCTTGACATTTCTTAGAGCGCTATCATGAGAATCACCAACCTCCCCATCCCTTTCTCCCATATTCCCCCCAAGTCAACAAAATTGCCGTAAGAGAACACTTTCTCCAAGGATATTTACACAACCAAAAGTTTTATCAGTTTAAAAGTTATTGAACATACCATGACTACTTGAAAACAAAGCCATGCTGATATGCTGGATGTCCAGCTAAGTCCTCTCACCAGCTATGTGAGCACATCATTCTCAGAGCTCACACAATTCAAATCTGTGCCTCAGCAAAATTATAATTTACTACATCACAATAATTCAAGGACAGTGAAGAAGAGTCAATGTGGCAAGGGAGAAGTCCTTGAATGTCAGTATCTATGATACACAATCAAAAATCTTCATTGAAAAAGATAGAAGACAAAAGATGCACAAGCTAGAGCGAATAACTTTTAGATTTATTTGTCCCTTCTTAGCCAGGAGATGCAATCAAGTCAAAACGGCAAATACCAATGAAACATCTTTTTTATATTTCCACATTGCAAAAGCTCTCCTCCACCAAATTAGATAAAATTTGCAATTACCAGGTTTACCATGGACAAGTTAAACAATATTTTTCAAAGTTATATTCTAATATTTATAGTCAGGTTTTAAAGAAGGCCAGACATCACTCTTCTTTTTTGGCCTATCAATTTTTGGTCTCATAAAGTCTAGCTGCAGTTTTATTAAGACAAAGAAACCAGCAAGTCTGACCATAAAATTATAAAATCACTTACCAACTGGTCTGGATTAAGTTGCTCTCCATTTTTCAGACGATCCTTATAATCTTCCAATTTGAGCTACAAAAGAGAGACTTGTATCTATTATAGTCTAATATAAAATTCTGAAGTAGATAAACTAAATATTAGGCTTTGCTTCTTATGAAAACAAAGTTCTTGAAGTAAGCTATCAATCTGAAAAGTACCATTTTACTACAAAGCAGGCAGCAACTGAGTACGTGAGTTGCAGTTAGGGAAAAAAAATTACACACATGAACATTAGTCTGGAATTACAAAAGTTAAATAATAAAACCCTTTTCTCTTAATAACCTCTATATACATTTAGACTGCAGAGACTTAAGTCAGTCAAGTGCCCTTAACTGAGTGGTGCTCAATCAGGGGTATTTTGTCCCCAGGGGTACCTGGCAACATCTGGAGATACTTATGGTTGTCACAAGTTGGGGGGGTGGCAGAAAGGTGGACAGTGCTACTAGTCTCTTGTGGGTAGAGACCAGGGATGTTGCTAAACATCCTAAAATGCACAGGATGGCCGCACACAACAAAGAATTATCCAGCACAAAATGTCAATAGCGCTGAGGGTGAAAAACTCTGCTCTAACCTTACACTTAAACCATTAGTTACCTGGTGAATTACATGGCATTGGTTGGATAGGAAACTTCCTAATGGAAGTTCAGGAATGTAAAAGATTTCTTTTCTAGCATTATAGTATCCTCAAATAGAAGCTATTTTTATATTAAATTTTATATTTAGTAAACATATGACCCTAACTTGCATTTACTGTCCCCATAAAAATGACATGAGCTACGAAAAAAAAGCAATGTTTAGGCTCCTCCCATTTGACTTTACAGTTTTAAAATGCTTTCCTAGAAGCTTGAAACAAAAGCTTTGGTCCTGTCAGCCAGGTATTCAAGGAGGCAGCATAATTAAGCCAGAGAGTATAAGTATACCTGTACATGCAGTTCCTCCACCTGGGAGAAGACATTAATGAGTCTCCATCAGTAGGGCCTACGTCGACAGGTTTCCCATTAGTGGCAGGGAATTTGTGCTGACCCAGGCACCCTCACCTTAATGCACTTGTGATTAACTGCATGCATTCACAAGACAGCTGGTGAGAGCTGGGGCTACGGAGAAGCTACTAGTAACTGGCCCTTCTTCACTGCCTGCCTGTGTATATTTTTAAAAATAAAAAACATTTTTAAAAAAGAGCCAATCAAATTCTTAAAAGAAAATCTCTTCAAGCTCCTCCATTAAAAGCAACTTTCCTAAGGTTTAACTAGGTCTTGGCATAAAAATATTTAAGAGTTCCTAGGTCAGAGAGTTAATGGCTCACCTTATTATCACAAGCAAAGAGAATCATGACACAACAAAGCAACATGCAGTGCTGTTTCACTGGCTACATGACTCAGGAAATGAGGAATGATTTGGATCTTTACAAGCATTTACTATAACGTTAGGCTGATTATAACCCAAGTCCCTCATCCCTGAGTATAAGGCTCTCTACAATGTTTTCACCTACCAATCTTAAGCAATCGCCTAGCAACACAAAAATTGGTGCTAAAACATTTTCTGGCTCTACCATCGTTAAAGCTTCCAATGACTGCAGCATCTACACTGCAATATCAACTGCTGCAGAAAGTCACAGGGAAACAAGCTAAAAAAAAAATCAGGGAATCTATGAAAAGGAACATTAATACTACACTCAAGGAATTAATCTGACTTAAAAGTGGCTAGCTATTCAAGTATTTCAACAGTAGCATGCATAATTTTACTATGAAGAATATTTTTATTTCCTTATACTGACAAATCAAACAGAAAATGTTTAACATATCCAATATTTGGCCTGCTTGTTTGTTTTCAGTCAGCTAAATCCCAAGCTTCGTTAAATCTTTAGGAAGTAATCTATGAGCCCTGATTGAATGCCAAAATGTCAGTTCTTTAATCCTTATTTAAAATGGTGTATATACCTGGCTTGGGGGGGGGGGGGAATTACCTTCTTTTTCTCGATGTTTCTAATTTTGTGTTTAAGGCATATGAGTCCATTATCAATATAGGTCTCATATGCTTGAGAAGGAGAGGAAACAGAACCGAGAGGAGACTGCAAGGGGCTCATGGCCCGCTGGCTTTCCCCATGTTGATTGTGGTTCACTTGGGGCTTGGCTGACTTCATATTCCCCTCTCTTCCCTCCTCTGAATGGCCTGAAGGTGACTGGTAACCAAAAGGAGACGAAGACAGGTGCACCATTGAAACAGTGGATCCTGAAGGGAGGGAAGGAAAAAAGTTAAGTATCGAAGTAAACTAAGACTAGAGGCGCACATCCAGGCTTTAACTTCCCTGAGAAATCTAGACCCACTCCCTCAAACCTGTCTTCCACAGAAGCGAGCACAAAACGCATCGGTGCTTTAGAGAGCGGCCTTCCCCGTCACTACCTGGAACGCGATCAGAGCCAAGGACTAGCGCCTTTACTTAGGCAAAATCTACAACATGGGCAACGTTTCCAGAAATTCAATTTTCCACATGCGGAGGAAGAACTGCTAAGCAATGGCTTCAGAGCTCCTCTTCTCACAACAGTAGTCTGCAGTCCGAATAATTTCTATGGTCAGGTGATGACACACAAAAAAAATAAGCTTTCCCCATTGGGACCTTAAGGCAGCCATTCCAACCTCTTTACATTATCCCTCACCACCAGCCTCAGCCCCAATCATTAACATTTTTTAAAATCCCGAACACACACATTTTTTTTAGAGCCTCTCATTCACTAACTGAAAAGTAGCTTCTTGAACAAGAATGCTAACTTCCCTTTGCTTGCTCTGGGATCTGTAAGGCAAGTCTGTCCCTACTGGACATTTGTAGCTAGGTACTCGAGCTGCGAGCGCCCCGAGTTAGTTCTATGTTTTCTTTTAAGCTAACCCATAACCACTCACGCCCACCCGGCTGAAGAGGTTATCCTGGCGAGCCTGGTACGGCCCTGGTCAGTGGCCCTCGCACGCCCTTCCTCCCAGCGCATCGGAGGTATCCATCCCACCGCTCCTTGGGAGCATCCCCAAAGTGAGGACATAACGGGCCCCACGCGCGTTAACGCTGATCCCAAATCCCCGCAGGGGCCCGCGTGAGAAGCGCCTCCACCAAGCCGGCACTGAGCGCCCCGAGGGCACCGACCCCCGTCCTCCCCCAGCCCTTTGGACGCCGAGACACCGGCCGTGGCCACTTCTGCAGGTGCCTTCTCAGGGGAGGCGTACCTGGAAAACAACGCACGGGCCACCTGCTTTTAGGGACCCGCCCCGAGGATGCCGAGCCGCCCCTCCACCTCACCGCAGCGGCGGCCGCCCAGCCCTGCCCACCCTCGCCAGGCCAGCTGCCTCCTCGAGCCGCCGCAGCCCGGCTTCACCTCCGCAGGCCGCCGAGGCTGCTGCGGCCGCTGCGGCTGCCGCAGCCCGGGCCCGCCTTCGAAGGCGGGAGGGAGCCAGGAGAGCTGCGGAGGTGGACAGGCGCCCCCCTCGCCTCGCGTCTCCGCCCAGCTGGCGGCGTTTGCTGCGGCCGGCGCTCCGCCGACTCAGCGCTCTCGCCTAGGCCCGCTCTTAACGCCGCGCGTGGCATATATAGGCGCGCCCCGCTTCACGCGCCCGCGCGCGCAGCCTCGTGCGACCCGGCACCGCCTCTTTCCGGTGCCCCAGCCTGGGCCGCCGCCGGCCTCGGCTCGGGGGGCGTTTGTTCCAGGTCCAGCTGCGGCGGGAAATCGGTCGCGAGAGGGCGCGTTCTCCCCGCGGTTGCGCAGATTGAGGGCCACCTGGTGGGGCCGTCCTGACGCGGAGAGCCGACCCACCACAGACCCCGAGGCCTTGCGGGACCTTGCTGATTGCAAACAGTAATAATTGCCCGTACGGCCTTGAACAGGTGATTTCGATCACTGGAAGAGGGCCGCGTGCCCTTGGTGGAATTGCCAGGTAAACCGAGCTCGAGCCTCTGGTAGATTAGATGGTTACTCTGGAAATGCAGGGGTGCCTTTGCTCCAGCCCCTCTCACTCCCAGTCATTCCACCCTTCACGGTACGATGGGGAAAATCCACGTTTCCAAAGAAGGGACGCAGGCCCGTGAGAGCAGAATACCCCAACATTGCCATAAAAACAGAGTGGGTGACTCCGCAACCTTCAGTAATAAGATTGTGTTTATTTAAGGCTGTTTTATTTGCTGCTTGCCAACAGGAATTCGTTGGCAGAGGGAAAAAAGAAAAAGAAACTGATAAAAATCCTGGTAAAGTTGCATACAATAAAGAAAAAAAAACCTGGAAATACATTAGTGTTTCTAAAAGAAGGGATGGTGTTTCTCATACCAAACGAATAAGAGGAGGAAAACAAAAAACAAAAACAAACAACAAAAAATATATCCATCACCCGGCAATACTTCGGCCCCAACGTGTCCAACCGTTACACCAAATAGGACATTTTAGGTTCTGTCCCTGAGACTGATAAAAATTATTTAGACTAGCAAGAGAAGAACAGAGAAAACTCAGAACTGCAATCAAAGGAGACAAAGGTGTCTAGTTTAAGCAATGTTGGCTAAGCCCATACAAAAATCATCATTATTTTTAACACCTCTTGATACAGATTTTCTAGTTATTGTGTGTTCTTTTCATTCCCTAATGATATAATGTATCATAATGTTGCATTTTTGCTTTGGATCTCTGAATTCCATGTGTGTTCTTGAGGGCCAGGCAAATATTAGATTGTTGATTTGTTTCACCATTTATAAACAGAGAAAGATACTGAAAATGAGTGGAGGAAGGTTATACCTTCATCCTTGACAAAAACCAAAACAGTGGACATAATAAAAAAAAAAAAGCAAAGGACACACTTTTGGGTCAATGAGTAGATACAAAGTTACAACACAGGTTATGCCTATTTTAGCCAGATTTAGTAATGAATCTAAAGATGGTATTTTAGTCTTATTAGTCATGAAATGTTTGCCTCCTGATTAACCAAGAAAAAAACTAACCCTTAAGGCATATAGACCTAGCCATAGGTCCTAAATATTCCACTAAATAAATAATTGTGAACAAATCTATACAGGTTTATTTCCCAACATGGTTTCAGAAAATGAATCAAAAAGAATGCAAAAGCAAAAAATAATTAAATTTCAAGCTCAATAAGGTACAGTCTGTATAAGCATAACGTAATATTTGTAGGAGATTGTGCCTCAGTAGACAAATAATGTTGTAGCAATGTCTTCTGGAAAAAATTAAAAAGGTGATTCAGAAAAAAAGCTTTCCTGCTAGAGATCTTTAAAACCAATGAATCTGGCTCACTTTGAAAGCAGATCCGCTCCCTCCTCCGCCAAAAAACTTTTTATTTGTCAAGGGTTTTGTTTATGTCCTCTCCCCAGCTCCCTACTTTAGAGAACACCTTGATTTGTCCTGCCAGCTGTGAGGAATATTTGTGGAAAGGAACCTCCAAGCTTTGCAAAGAATTACTACGTTTACAATGATAAAAGGTGTTTTAAATCAATGTGAGAATACATTCACTCATCCAACAGATAGTTATTGTTATATGTCAGCTACCTCTCAATCAATCTTGTGGAGGGGAGCAAATACTCACCGGGCACTGGCTGTGATAGGGATATAATGGTGAGCGAGACAAATACCGCCCTGCCTTCATGGAGCTGAGTAGGAATTCAATAAACTCTAAAGAAATAAATAGCAAAAACAACCAACTCAATAAAATAGAAAAATAAAAATACTAACGATTTAGAATGGATCGTTTGATTTCTGTAAAAATAGCCAAACTATACATCCCTAGAAAATGAGAAGTTTTATACATGCATTGTCTGGCAAGCGCATGTTCTTGCAGAGATGGTTATGCAGTCATCTCTTGAAATTGATGCAACTCCATGTTGCTGAAACTGGAAAGATTGTCACCAAAGGATGTTGCAGCTGGTAGCTTATGAGTGGAGATACAAAATTATCTTAGATGTTTTGTTATGAGAGAGAGAAATCTGCTTCTCAGTGGCTCGGTGGCCTTGTGAAGTGTTGCCATACACACAAAAAGAGAAGGGACCAAGAAAACTAACAAAAAGTCTGTGAAGGACAGAGATCCCTGGGGAACAGTTAACATAATAAAGTTGTATAAAAAATATTGCACTTTTTAATACTTTCAGATTCATGGGGTATCTTTGGACATATCTGAAGAGAGAAACTTATGAAAGTTAAAGGACTGACCAATATAGGCTTCGGGGAGAAAAAATAACTTGCCAAAATAGTTGAAAGCATTTTTGAGAGAATTCCTATAGTTTCTAAGATTATTATTTTTGTGGACTTAAATTTCTCATAAAATTATAGTACCTATCCCCAGTGGGTTTGTTTATACTGTTTTTCTCATATTGGAGTTAATGCATTAATAATACTTCACCAGTAAGTCCCTTTGAAATAAAAGTTCTTAGGAGAGGAATGATCAGTATAGAATTTGTAAGTGTGTCTGTGGTTAATGATATCAAGCCCATGAAAATACTTGTGAGGTCTCAACAGCACAGACTTTGGATACATACACACCTGGATTTCATTCTTACTTCTGCCCCTTACTAGTTGAGTGATTTGGGGCAAGTTAGCTAAATTCTCTGGACTTCAGTTTCTTCACCTATAAGACCAAGATAATAATGTCTGCTTAAAAGTGTTGTTAAGGACTTCGTTTCATTTATTTAAAAAACAAAACAAAAGCTATCTCTGAATAATGGGCCATGAAAACATGTCCCCCACTGGTAGCCTGAGGAGAACTAGAGAATTTTAGGGCTGTGAAAACCCTTCCTTAATTTTAAAGATAAGGAAAATAAACTTACTGGACATTTAGGAATTTTCTAGTGCAGTGTGCATTCCAAGCTGCTTCAACCCTTTTCTTTGCTGCTTCTGCAGAGAGTGAAGTGTAGAAAAAGGCTATTACATGGGGAGAATTGAATACAAGAAGAATATACAACTCATTATTACTGTATCTTCAAAGGAATTCATTCAATAAGATATCTTAAAATAGTCATATCTTTTGATCCAATAATGCTTGTATTAAGAATCTTCTCTATGAAAATAATAAGATAATCAGACAATAATTTTTTCTGTAAAAATGCTAATCACAATTTTTGTTGTGATGAAAAGTTGTAAACAATGACTAGAAATAGCTAAATAAGGCAGCTGATGCATAAATTATAATTCAGCCAGCACAAATAACCTTTTTAAGGAATATTCAATGGCATGATATCCTATCAAGTAAACAAGAAAAAGGCAGGATAACAACATGATAT